GTATTTATTTTACGCCACGATAACGGTTTCGAATAGTGATTTCGGTAGGGGAGCTTACAAATGGCGTGGTAAAGCTGCCTAGTGACATCACGGGTTACTGAAATTTCAATTTAAGTCTGAGTCATCTGAAAAAAAGTGAAAAGAGGGTTCATCCAACCCTCTTTCCTATAAGCGCGAGGGTGAAAAATGCTGTTTGGTTCTGACATTGTTTTGGACGCCAATGACCATAGCTGTCCGAGATGAAAGCTACAGGACGCATACATGGTGTCCTCCAGAGGTCTCACAACTTGTATATCTGGGAATTTTTCAAGGTTACATAAGGTCAGGTCGGTCACGTGACATCACTGTTATAAATCAATGGGGAAATATAAAAAACTGTTATTTTGGCGCCGAGAATAATCTAAAACAGGGGTCGGCAAATGGTGGGGCATGCCCCCTTTGGGGGTAATGGAGCCCTTTCGGTGGGGGTAATGAGGGATTCTGAGAAAACTTATCTTTTTGGAGTTAGTGGCTCCATTGATGAAACATTCGTGACTGTTGCATTCCAGGGTTCAAAGATTAGCCCCGGTCAAAGGCACAGCACACATTGATTAGATACCAATTTTCACGTAGCTGCTCGCCTCACCATCTCAACGCGGCTCCGTACAGTCGTACAAAAGCAGCTGCAATTTTTAACCGTCGCCCGTCTGTTGGCGTCTCCACAGCCGCTAACGTAAGGGGGAGGAGTCGATCGGACCCCCGCGGCCTCTCGGACTCTGAGATGGAGCTGTGCAGAAAAAAACGAGCGTATTACCCGTGACTATAGGAAGCCGCTGCTGCCCATTTTTAAGGTCCTTCGTCATTTCGTCTCATTCAGGAGGTCAAAGATAAGTGTCGAGAAAATCGGGACCCGCTATAACTTCTTGAAGTGAGATTTTATGGCTCAAGATGATCTCCAGAAAAAGCTCATAAGCCAATCATGATCATTATGGGTCCAGAGGCCACTTTACCGACATAAAAATAGCCGCCTGCCGGAATTTTTCGCCTAAAGACCGCTTCACATACGGTAAAGCGTAAATACGGTAAGCGGTAAAGCCCTATCCACTTAAATGCTCATCGCGCTTACTCATCGTATGTGAAGCGCATGCTCATCGTATATGCAGCGCTTTTTAGGCAAAAACTTCGGCAGGCGGCTATTTTTCTGTTGGTAAAACTGGCCTCAGGTTTTCCCAGGCAGGTAAAGAAAAAAAATGCTTGGCTCGAGGGTACAATTTGGTCGTGATCCAACGGCTTTTACGTGAGCTTTTAATGAAAAAACACCCGCCGCCCCTATATGTACAAGGGTTAAATGGGATATATTAAATACTTTGTGGAGGAAGTGTCATGTTTTAAATTTGATGCATCGGAAATGCAGAAATACCCAAAGAGTTCCAGAAAGGTACGGAATTTCAGTAAACTTGGTTGTGTCAGCAATGGGGTCTGGTAGGTGGGGGTAATGGCCCTGCCTGGCGCCCAAAAAGGGGGCACAACCCCGAATGACCTGCCGACCACTGATCTAAAACTATCCCACGTACATGGTATCGTGATTTCATGCACTCCTTGCAAAGTTCAATGCTTTACTTTTGCATTGTTAACCTTGCGTGACGTCATTTATGACGTCACTAGGGTCGTACGAGTTTTTCGTCAATAACTCCGGATCAAATGGAGCAAGAGGGTCGGGAAAGCCACCAATGGACTCGGAAAGACCTTCCGAATCGAATGATATGCCATATGATACCCTTTGCCCAGCTTCGTGACCTGAGGGGCTCTGACCTGACCTTAACCCGAGGTCAACTACTTAAGTTGACCTCACCCTAGCAAAAAGTATACCATTCGATGCACCTGAGCTAGGCGAACACAATGATGCCAAAATCGCGGCTCTGCGGCCATTTTTTGCGAAGTTATTTACTAAAAACCGAACCCGTAACTTCAGTCACGTGACCTGACCTCAGACGCTACCGGTTAACCTGAGACCTTAAAATCGGGTACCAATCGCTGCGACTTGTAACGGCACACACGCTTGTTTTTTCCGCGAGGCTCTAGCTCTATTAGAAGCGAAACGGCGTGCTGGGGTCGTATCAACCCCTCCGAAACCCATTTTGTTTGCGGGAAAATGAGGAACTTATAGAAAGAACACCTTTTTAATTTTTTGCATGTCGATTTGCAATGACATGAAGTTTATTTTGAAAAAATAAAAATGTGAAAAATTTTGGTCCCAAAAGTCATTAGGTAGAGGCAAATGAAAAAAGGTTATGGTTTTTGTTCAATAATGAATTTTTTTCTTTGGAATTTTTAAATAGTAATATTAATTTTTGATTCATCGCAAGCTTAGTGTTGTTAACTTTTTGTTGGTTGCTTAACCCGTTCTTGAGTTATAGGCCATCAAACTCACCGTTACATACCGAAGTTAAAAAAATGTAATGCAATATAACTCAAAAAGTTTTGATCTGAGTAGTCTGATATTTTGCCAGGCGTCTTTGGGGCCTATGATTACCCCTAGGACCGATTTTCATTAAAATCTGAGAGATGAGGGTGACGGGCCTGGTACGATCTATCGTGGAATGCCCCAACTGCAAACGTGTTGGAACCAGATGATAACAGGCAAAAAATGTTACAATTGACCCGATACTGGCAGAAATGGAGCTATTATGATATCGCTTGTTGATAACTAAGTATGGCGTGCTTCATAAATGATCGCCGCATAGAGAAACAACCGTTTAATTACGAAAATGTCTTATATTTTACTCATAATAACAATCTGAGCCCAAAGTCCGCTTATATTTGGAGTTTGTACCGTAACATTTTAATGAAACAAATTTCAACAAATCCTCTGTGAAAAGGGTGGCCTCCGTTGACCCATGCTTTACTGCCATCACAAGTTACCGCACGGTGACCGCCTCCCCATCCCTCCGCAACCACTCCCCTCGTCCCGCCGCGATGGCTGCCACCGCGTGTCAGGCTCCGGTCATTGCTACCAGTGGCCTTCAAACTTTTCCGCTCAACCGCGGCTGGGACTAGTGGTGCCCTCTCCTCCGAGTCGCGATACTTTCAAGGGAGACTACACCTTTTTTCGATCCGAATCGGCATCTGGTCAGCTAGTTTCGGCAGATCTGCATTAGGAACGTCAGCTGGAGTGCGCTTTCGACAAACCACGCCTCAAACTCGGCATAGTGCAGCAGCGTGACATGGGGCATTTAATGTCGACAATGAGCGTGATTTCGACACTGGCCAATGGATTTCGGCACACGGCATAGGACTGTGACATCGGGCATTGGAAAAAGGCAAATTTCATTTTACAATGGCAATGGTCATGCAGTTTTGTTGGCGGTATAACAAGTTAAATCGAACAAATTGCAAACCATATTTTGTACATTGATGCGTTTCCAATGCTTACCATTGGAATTTTTAGCATTTTTCCTTTTCTTAGACTTTCCTTGGATTAATGGAACACAAAATACGCCAAGACCGTGGTTTTAGGGTCCAAACGTTTTTTTTTCCTGTGGATGGAGGGTGAGTAGGCTAGCAAGCCATGTCAGAGTCGTGAAATGAGAGGATAATGCGGAGGAAGCATTTGGGTGAGTCTACCAGTGACCGGTGAGCTGCGGCGGCTGACAAGGCGCCGGTATAAAACTGTCCCGCCAAGGAAAAGCAGCCAAAGCGATCGATGGGTCAGCCCGCAGGGTTTCCATCTTTCCAGAGGGCAGTTTTTTTTTTGTCCAGAGATACAGTTGACCATGACTGACCACACCGCCGTCCTGCAAACATTGTTGCCTCTCTAGGGTGACACGCCCATTCCCATCTCGACAGACCTGAACCACCCGCGCTGGCGGTCAGCGCCACTCACAATGTGTCGACAGATCGACACAAATGAAAAAATAATATTTTTGTTTTTCATCCAAGAAATACCGCTAAAACATTATCAACTTTAGATGCGTTGAGAGGAGCGAGGCCCCGAGTGACCCTAGTCAGCCTTTGTATTTGCCAGGAGCGTGGCCCCGAATGACCCCCGTCGCCCTTTGGATTCGCCAGTGCTTCCACATTGTCACAGAATGGCACAAGGATGATGACCTAGCATGAGGTCAGCTTGTGTGCCGGAGGCGGGTGATGTCATGGACGAACCGGTGTTTTATTTCCAGAGCGACTGACGAAACCGGTGCCCGATGCCGTATTCCAATGAACGGTTGCCGATTCGGATTAAAAAAGGTGTGGTTACTTAGCAACCAAGCGCCCATATTGAGTGTCTCTTTACAGTACCGTGAAACATTTTAACGCATATTCTTAAAATGCCTTTCCGAAAAGATAAGAGTTGCTTAATTCACTGATGAAATAAATTGACCATTGTCTAGCTAGGCTGCAAGCTGCCGACGTAAAATGCAATATGACAAAACAGAATGCCCTTTGTCGATATTAAATGTCCCTGCCGTTGTTCAATGACCCTGGTCGAATATCAACAGATGCTATTCTAAATCAGCGAAAAGTGTCGAAATGCGTGCTCCAGTGTCGAGTTGTTGGAGTGCCTGTCGAGATAAGGTGCCCGCTGCCGTATTTGAATGAACGGATGCCGATTCGGATCGAAAAAAGGTGTATACAGAGGACGTACTATCAGAGGTTGTTTGACATATCTCCGCACCTGCCGCCAGATGACGCTATTTGATACAGGTGGGGTTATCTGATACAGCATGCGGTGGTTTAGGAAAATCGGGACGTCACTTTGAAAGACGAGGGAACCGGCTCAGTGTGACGCCTTTCAGTGTGAGTGTGACGCCCCTCAGTGTGACGCCGCTCAGTGTGACGCCCCTCAGTGTGACGCCGCTCAGTGTGACGCCCCTCAGTGTGACGCCCCTCAGTGTGACGCCCCTCAGTGTGACGCCTTTCAGTGTGAGTGTGACGCCCCTCAGTGTGACGCCGCTCAGTGTGACGCCCCTCAGTGTGACGCCCCTCAGTGTGACGCCCCTCAGTGTGACGTCTCCGTCTGCGGCCAGGGCTGAACGCCATCGTCCTGTACCTGGGTCACGAGCTGGTGGGCGGCCTGTTCCCGGTGTCGCTGCGCTCCGTGCTGCCGCCAGCCGGCACGCACGCCGCCGCGCTGCTCAACAGCCTCTGGGCCGCCCTCGTGTGGCTGCTGGTCGCCTGGCGCCTCTACAAACATGGCCTCTTCATTGCGCTGTGAGTGCAGCGAATGAGCGCTTTCGGCTGCTGAAGACAGGCCGCGGCTGCAATGGCCGCCTGTGGGCGGAGCGCTATTGGCGGCGACTTTGAGCCGGCGCCACAGCTCGGGCGCCACCTCCACCTCCATCATTAGCCGCAGCTCGTACCATACACCCGGCAACCGACAAGTGCGCTATTAAGGGCTCTCTGTAGATTGTGTAATACTGTGGGTTTGTCTATCCGTACGCTGTAAAAATGTTCACTGATTTCTTAGTTACCCGGCCACTTTTCACCAGCAAGATGCGAGTAGACTTGAAGTCTACATACTCGCATTTTGTTAGTGAAAAGTGAAGTCTACTCACATTTTGTTAGTGAAAAATCGAGTTTACTCAATGTAAACTAAACATTATGTTTATTCAATGCGAGTAAACATAATTGGAGTACTTGAAGTCTACTCGAATTTAATGCAGTGAAAAGTGGGCGAATAACTAGGAAATTAGTAAACACTGTTTACAGTGTAGGAGGTATGTCGAGCATTGAAGGAGGACTGGCGTGGCCGCACGGCGGCTGCCGGCGCGGTGCGGTGCGTCTACTCGGGCAGCGGAGATCAGACGCTGGCCGGCACTCCCACTGGCAGTGTCACCCTGTCGCGCAGGGTCCGTGCGGGCTCTCGGAGCACCTTGTGTTCCTGATCGAAGCATGCAGACCGTTTGTCTGTCTTCGGCTCGTACGTCGCTAGCGGACCCGTGCTGCTGTCAACTTGAGCTTTGCTTATTCGCCGCCTCAGCGCTGGCACACCGTGTCCGTTGTATGCCGTATCGGCCATATGCTGTGTCTGAGCCGAGTACGCCAGCACGGCGGACTGGCCGGCACCGTCCGTGCATGTACAGGCGGGCCACCGGCGGCCGTGTGCGGCCGATGAGTGGCTCTGGGCGCCAAGCTGGTCCGCCCCGCGGCCGGCACCACATGCGTGCCATTACTGTTTAGTATTTACAGTGGAAAGTCCGCCGGCCGATGTCGCCCTGTTACGCGGCTCGTGATTGGCAGGTGTATGGACGTTTATAGCTGGGGAGGATGGAGTGTATGGACGCCGGTCCGTGCCGGTCCGACCATTTACCGGTGCCAGAAGACATGGGCTGTCCGAAGGGGGGAGGAGGCATGGGCCCCTTTTGGTCAAGAAAGGTGCGGCCGTACTATCTTTTGGCCCCACCATTTGCAAACCGAACAAAAGTCTAAGAAGTGTTTTTTTATGTCTAAGTTGATTATACATCTTTGCTTTGCCATCAAATAAATTTATAGACGGTCTCAGTTTCGCATGACGTCTTCTTGGCGGTCGCTGTCCGCGGCCCAGTGCGCGCCATCCTGACAGGGCGCGGGCCGGCCATAGAACGCCCCTGGAGTTATAGCCTTGGGATAACTCCTTGCCTATGCAACATTCTCCACGTACAGGTACTTGGCAGCGATGTTTTGCTAGCAGCAGGCCATAGGGGAAGGTGGGGGAATGGCGATCCCCTAAGCTCTCGTGCATATCGGGAGAAACCAAAGACCTGGAGCACTAACTTTGCTGTCTAAATGCTCTTTTCAGATAATTTCCTCAAATACTTAAGCATAAAATTGGCAATTTTTTTAATCGTTTAAATTTGGTGGACAATTTAAAAAGTCAGCATTTTCAGGGGCAATGCCGCCTACGGGGTAATGGCGCCCACCCCGATATCACATCATCATAGGGTTAACCCTCGCATGTGTGCGGCGTTTGCCAGCTTCTAATGTGTAGGGGGGGGGGGGGGTCGGTTGGACCCCACTTGCCGTTTGGCCCCTGATCGAGCTAGAGCTTCGCGAAAAAAAGCGAGCGTGTTGTCCGTGACGAGAGGAAGCCGATGATACCCAATTTTAAGGTCCTAGGTCATTGGTTGACCTTCCAGGTCAGGTCAAAGACCCAAAGTCGGGAAAATCGGGACCTGTTAGAAAGTCGTAAAGTGTGGCTGCGAAGGGGTTTTTCGGGACGCTGATCGCGAATATCGTGTTAGTTTTGATCACAGATGATGTCCTAAAGCATTTAGACAAGGTCGGGTCAGGTCAGGTCAGGTCAACCAGTAGGGGTCGTGACGGGTATTCGTAGTATGTACAGGTCTCGCGAGATTAAGCGGTAGGTTTTGCACTTTTACATTTCCGGTTATATCTCAGAAACTAATCGATCTACGATGAAGCCATTTTACACGATCATGGCCGGCTTGTTACCCAACAAGTCGATCGCATCTTCAACACTTAGAAGCTCAAGACGACGAAGATATAGCCTGAAGTACACTAAATTTTCTAGGTGCAAAACCTACCGCTAAAACCCGCGAGACCTGTACAGTCCACAGCAGAAGTAATGTGTGGTTTCAGTCATGGGTATGTTCTGCTTCTGAAGCCTAGGAACGATTAGCCAGACTGCAACGAGACTTTAAATGTAGCTTACATGTATCTTCACGCTTGCAGCTACAACTTTATCTATTGACGTCTTCTTTTCAATCAGTCCGCATTTAAAAATCGTCGGTCAAAGCCATCCGTTGAGATTGGTAAAACCACACATTACTTTAGCGGTGGGCTGTATGTGTCAACCGCCTCTGACAGCTTCGTAACATGTTACGAAGTCACCAAAACTATTTCGTAAATGTTCAAATGGTTGCTAAGTTCGAATTCAGCTCGAAAAACTAGCCTAGAAACATGTAAAACTCGAAAAAGTGAACCGAGGTCATATATACGCGTTTTTCGGGCTTAGCCTAACCAAATAAAACACCGTTTAATTTACCCTAACGAAACTTAAGCTAACATTTTTGATCGTTTAATTGCAAGTTAGCCTAAATCTGGCTTATGCTGATATGAAGGGAATATGAAGGAGCCGTTGAAGCAGAGCCAGAAAACTTCGCCACGGTTATCATGCGACCAGCTGAGCTTTCCGCAGATTGGGAGACACTGCTACGGAGTTGAAGATGCTAGTCCACGGGCGTAATTTTTTTTTCCAATCAAAGGAAGGCGCTACACGGAGTATATCCCAGTGCGTCATTGTCAAGTGACTTACAACACCTTTATCCGGCCAGCTGTCTGCGAGGTGTAGTGGTTGGTTAGTGCACTCGCCCCGTGTTCAGAGGACCGAAGGTTCGAATCACGCCGGCGGCTGAATTTTTTAGCGCGTTGTAGGTTTGTAGGCTGTAGGTTAGATCAAGTTAGGCTAGGTTAGGTTGTTAATTTTTGTTTGGTTTGGTTACAAAGAAGCATCTTCAGGTATAGTGCCTACCTTTGGTTGGAAAAAAGAAACACGCAGTCCATGGATGGCTCACGCCGCGCTACATTTATGAACAGGCATTAGTGACGCAGTTCTGAGTCCACGGGTCCGGCACTAACATCAAATTCGGTTGATACGTTCAGAGCATATTCCTGCAGGAATATTCACCGCGGACGGTAAATTTCCCGAAAATGGCCGTTCGGAGTCGTTCCCGGATGTAATAGGTGTTCTCTATGTGATGCCACAATGCGTGCGTGGTCCTCGGCATCAGTATTTCGGCTCGTGGGTCGTTCACATAAATCTGAGCGATTGAGGGTGGCTGGTCTCCGTTGGCTTCGAGTGGTTCAAGTCGGTGCCGCAGTCCGCACCACATGTACACGGCACGTACCCGCCGGTGCCAGCAGGCTGTGGCACCCGCCACGGCTCACGCGCAGACATCGACGACAGGGCCAGCGCCGAGTTCAGACTTCAGATGCCTGGAAAACTGACGGAAGGTACGCGCTTCCACACCGTCGCCAGGCCAAAGATGGCGCAGCACAGGTGGCGGGGCCGGCACGGGGTCAAGGAGGACCTCCCCCAACCCACCCACCCCACAGCAGAAGGCGGCACGTTCACCCAACCACCGTAAGGCCGCACGCGCTACGCCAGCCTGCAGCCGCTCCCCTAGCATCATAGCATTCGTTTGCACAAGAACATACAGGGTGTAACGAAATTATCCGGACATCTATTTTTTTTCGCCATATCTGCTCGCACAGTTTCTTGTTTAATGTGGAAGCTGGAAAATTGGATGAATGCATATTATCACAGACGGTGTCTCGGTCCAAACTGTATTCGAGCCGGCCAGGTAGCCCCCGGGTCACAGAGGCAACGCCACCACGGTTCACATACGAGTGTCATGAGCGCATGTCACGAGCGCAAGTACGCGTGCACCGGCGCGGCGGCCGCCAGCTCAGCTCCATGACACTCCTCCACCCCGAATACTTGCACAGCATGGACAAACAAATAAATATGCACCTCACAGAACAAATAACAACTGAAACAAAACGCCTACTCATAGCTCGCCACGTATCGGTCTGGGGGCTGCAGGGTGGACCGGTCTCTCAGCCGGTACCGCGGCGCGCTGGGAGAGGGTGCGGACGGCGGGACGGTGGTCACACCCGGCGCGGGCACCGCTCCGGTCAGCCCGGGCGGCGCCGGAACAGGCGGCCGGCCAGGAGCAGGCGCTCGATCAGGAGCCGGCAGCCGGTCGGGAGTGGAGGCCAGTTGTCCGGGAACGGGAGCATGCCGTGCAGATGCAGCGGCGCTCTCCGTGACCGGATCAGGAGCAGGTATCGGTGTCACTCTGGAACGGAGAGCATCGTTAGCGACATGCGGAACAGCTGAATATCGCTCACGAACCTGGTCGGCGTGCCGCACAATCAGTACAATCACCCTTCCGTCATTTAGCTCCACAGTGACCTTAACCCTCTACGAACACTACACGACCGGGCGCCCACCGACAACGCTCCAATCCCTGCAATCTATCGACAGCAGGCACATACACAGGGTCACCCGGGTTCAGACATCGTTCACGGGCATTTCGATCACGGTACGGTTCTCCAGGGTATTAGTCGTTGGTCGCTCGGCGAGCGGGAGGGCAACCAGTTCCGCCCCTGTATCGCGTGACCCCTTGCTCCGCCCAGTTACGCACGATCGTACTCCACGCAGCGTAGTAGCGTGGGGAGGGGAGGGTTAGAATGGTGGCATGTGTAGAGGCTAGAACCGGTTTCCACCGCCATGCCACCGCCCAGCGACATGGAGCGGGGTCAGTGACCAGGGCGCAGGGAAAGGTTAGAGGTCAGCTTTAACGTAGAGCTTTGTGTCTCCCTCCCCTCCGTGTGTAACTTCCGCACGACAGCGGCCGGCCGCCGATCAGGCTTGACATGTCAAGGTCACCCGCAGTCAACGGGCTCAGAGGGTTGGTCGAGTGCGAGTCCGTGGCTGACGACAGTCTCGACCATGTGCTATGGTGCCGATACACTAGCGTGGGTAATAAGTTTGTGTTCAGTGCATATGACTGCTGGGGCGTGTCCTCTTGATATGATGCTTTGTAACGTGTATGATACGCTTAAAACCTAGCTGGCAGTGGCCGAGAGGAGAGGGGGGGGAGGCGGTTGCCGCTTCCACATGTTTATTTTTGTTGATAGCTGCGAGAGCTGAAATTTGGCAAGCCTGACCTTTGATTCAAGCTGAATTTTTATGACAGCAGCTGTATTTTCACCCTCGCCCGTATTGGTGTTTTGCCAGCTTCTATCGTAAAGAGGGGGAGGAGGGTCCGTTGGACCCCTTTGCCGTTCAGCCCCTAATCGAGCTAGAGCTTCGCGGAAAAAGAGCGTATTGCCCGTGACAAGAGGAGGCCGATGATACCCAATTTTAACCCTCGCCGGCACAGGGGGGGTTGATGCAACCCCCCCCCCTAAGGTTTTTCGCGAATAACTCGCGTAAAAAGCGGCCGATCGCAACGAAACTTTCAGTACCCTCGCATTGATCAATTTTACACCTACCCTGAATTTTTTTTTACCCTGACCCAAATGACCTTTGACCTGTGACCTCTTTTCCGAGACCATGTTTGGCCGGAATCGCGATTCGGCGTATGTCGGATCGCATTAGCCGCGCGTTTGCAAGCTTTTCGTGGTTTCAAACGTTCAAACATGTGATTTGATGTTGCTTTCATACATTAGGGTGGGTTTCAAGGTCAGCTGAAGGTCAGGTCAGGTTATTGACCTTTGGTGACCTCGGGTGACCTCGGTTCACTTTTTCGAGTTTTACATGCTTCTAGGCTAGTTTTTGGAGCTGAATTCGAATTTAGCAACCATTTGAACATTTAACCCTATTCCTGGCGGGCTCCGCCGGGACAAGAAACTGGCGGGGGGGGCCGATTCGGCCCCCCCCTGAGATCTCGAGAACGAAGCAAGATAGCGACAAGCGGTAAACGGCATCGGATACGCACGGCCAAGATCTACAATTTTTACTTAGGTCATTTTCAGGTCAGGTCAAAGATGACGTCAC